TGTTGTCACCTCAAGATTGGATTCATCATAAATGATAGTGTTTATTCAAGTATAACCAATTTTATGGTTTGATTTGTAGCACAACAATTAAAAAGGCTGAGATTTACAGTTTTACAGTCACCCCTGCATTTGTTTTAAATGGACTAGTCTATTGTGCTTTCACACGCCTTTTGTTGAGCTTTAGATATGTTCACATTACAACAACATGTCAGATAAATGCTGCCGGACTGAATTTACCCTTTTTTTCCCGGCCGTTCCAGGCACCCGTACTGTAACAGTATGGTTCAATGTGTAGCATGTTTAACTCACACATCACATTGTCCAATTTATGTAGAAGTATACTACTTGGCAAATATCCTGCCTATTTCTTCTCTGCTCCAATCGCTAACAGCTGTCTTCTCCTGCTCCAACACACATTTGCTATGGATTCTCACCATGGGAGGAAATCCATAGACTCAAACATTAAGAGTTTTTGAGATGGAGGAAACGTAGTAAACCTAGTAAATCTTGCTTTAATTTTCATGGGGTTCTTTCGAATTTCATTAAATCAAACTTATGAACAGAATTCAGATTCAGAATATTCCATTGTCCATTACATTTCCATACAATGGAAATGTGTACAGTATTTGACACTGGCAAATAAGATACAATAACACTCACCATACACAGTTTAACATACAATTCATAAACAGAAAACGTCATCTTAAAGTGACTAAGTGGCAGTCTTAATAAAAGAGGTTTGTTCTTCCACTGGCTTCAGTCCATTAAAATATTAGTTTTATTAATAATAAATCATTCACTACACATTCAAGTTAGCTGTTGGTGGCAGAATGTCTTTGAGTCTCGAAAAGGGGGCTTACATTTGAGTCAAGGTGTGTTTGTCTGTGTGTGTTTTAGAGTGAAGACTTATTTAAACAGGCTGTAAATGAGGATGGTCACGGATGGAAGGTATAGTATCACCATTTAGCCACTTTATGCAAAAGAAATGGCAATCTTTATCAAGGTCTTACAAGTGTCAGCATTATATCGTCAAGTGATAATCATAATACAATCATGAGGATAATATTGTAGAAGTATACTATGTCGGGGAAGCAAGCCCTCTCATGAAATAAGATAAGATTCACTGATTAAAGAGGTCTAAACCGCTCCAGCTTATGTAAACACTGCCCAACCTGCCGGATGGTTTCTCGTTACGACCCAGCATTCACTGCGTCATCACAGGATCTACTTTCTGCCAAGGACCCATGATTGTTGACCAGGGCTACATCTATGATGGCTGCATCTGCACAACATTAGGTGGTTTTAGCCAGCTGTTGGTTATAAGTAAGTAGGGTAAACATGTGGATCAATACATCATCGATTAATGGGGAGGAAAAAAAACTCCCTTTCCAAGAACGTGAAAGACATCTTATTCCAGAATAAACAACGCAATACAATTTCAACATGGACAAACCATGTACAGTATACAATGTACTGTATATGTGAACATATTTGAAAATTAAGGATCCAAGGGGATCCAAGCTTCCGGATGCCATAAATTAAATCAAAAATAACGGACTACAGCAACAGGTAGAGCCATGATTAATGATCCAGACATAACCAAACTGCCTGTGTTATGATGCTTTTTCCTTCTCCCTTTAATTTGTTAAATCACTCTTATAGTGTCATGTCTGGTTTGACTACCTGTCTTTGTGTGCCCCGCCTTTTTGTAATAGTTTGCAACGCCCTGATTCTATCCAGTTGTGTCTATAGAATGCAATGACGAGTCCTAAAACCCGGAAGTGAGTTGGCATTTTACCACTTCCGGCTCCCTTGTCTCAGAGTCAACGGGATTCCCTCCATAGGATTTTGGAAAATAACTGAAATAAGGTCTGTGGTTGACACAAATTTAAGAGACGGATCACGTTTTGTTCTACGACATTAAATACATCAGCAGTGCTCCACTGGTGATTTTTGAAGAGTTTACGTGTCTGAAAAACGATGGTTGTTAACAAGTGGCTGAATAGGACTACAGAAGTTGTCGAGGACTTTGTACGTCATTACACCGAAAACGTAAACACTCCCGCTAAATTTGTTTGCCCAGTTCTGCTTAACACTAGAACCGCCAACTGGTACATTTTACCCGCAGCTGTTTTTTTATTGTATACCTTTTGTTCAATAACATATTAAAGTCTCCCAGTCCGTGACTTTTCCTGAAAGTGTGTGATGTAGCACCCTCTGTTGTTAACAATTGTCAATATGAAGTCAGATTGAAAAGATCGCCAAAAAAAAAGCCATTTATAGCTATATCCGCCAGCGGGTAATATTTACCTCATAGAAAATGCAGCGTAAACATGACGTGTTGCTATAGCAACGCCTTTTGTCTACTGCGGTTCCTTATAGATAGAGAGATAGATTGAGAGAGAGATAGATAGATAGATAGATAGATATATATATAGATATATTGATAGATGGATAGAGAGAGAGATAGACAGATAGATAGTTATAGATAGCTCTTATACTTTATTAGGACTTTCAAGGTAAATTCCTTTCCCTTGTCGGTATTCTGTAAATTGTCCTCCAAGGTTGTTTTACCACTTAATTTTGTGCTCAGATTGTGGACCCATCTGCATTTAGTCGTAAGGAAATCGCTGTATATAATATTGTAGGATATATTCGTAGGACGTGTTGGATGATTGTTTCGACTCTCAGGTGTGTCTAAATAACCATATATCAAAGTTGGACACGCTAGTTTTGCAGTGACAAGGACATACTACTTATTTTCTTGTAACCATGGAACTTTTAGATTCCCACATGTAAAATGGGTTTGGGGTGAGAGAAGTCAGACGCATGTTTACTGTGCTGAAATGGTAACCTTTATGCACGTTATCTAGTGCGATTTCAGGCTGGCTTAAAACGTACGGGATAGTATGGCGGTTGATAAGGGTAACTCTGTGTCTCAGGTCTAGCGTATCTGTGTACCTATTGCTGTCACTGTCTTGTCCTAGTGTATTTTGTCTAATGAGTTATAGTTGTGTGGCTATAATCTATAAACATGTTATGCATATTGTGAATTATAACTGTGTCTAGGGCACTCCTTTTTTACTGTCTGTCTGGTGGCTTGTATATAAATCTCCTACTCTTTTCCTGGTTTTTTCTTCTCGCATTACATTTACCCTGGGTTTTGTTGGTTTGGTGCCGCGCGGGATTGTGGAATGGGAATGTGTGAGGGGAGGCACTCGCCTCACTTAGGGCACCACGTGAACGTGTTGGTACAGTCTTCTTGGTCGGCCGTCTTCTTTTGGATTTATTGTCCAGTTTGAATTTAAATTGTGGACCTCTCCCCAATTGTAGGACTGTAGGTGTAGAGCGTCTCGCACCTGCGAAGAATTTAGTATCTTTTGTCACTTCGGTCTACTTGGGTTTATCGTCGCCGAGACGCCGCGTCTTTGACAGTTTGGCGGCGGCGGGGGTACGGCGAAGCAACTTGGCTTTGTTCCGGACCAAAGGCTGACGTACCTCCAACAACAGCCCTCGTACTCCGGCCCATTTCGACATTGGTCGATAATGACCAGCTTTTTTTCGCTCTGGCGAATAATCTATAAACCGGCGTTGACTCTTCCATCGGATGAACGTTGCGTCCTTACCATGTTTTTGTCTCGTCAGCCAATAAGAAACCGTTTTGGGTAATTGGGACTATCACTTTTAACGCTACAACTCGTGCGAGTTCCACTATTGGAGAAAGAAAAAAGAATCCTCAGTATGGACAAAATCAGATCTTTTTCATTTACACACGTAAAATAATATTTCAACCAATATAACATGTCTGACCAACCGTTTTGATTCTTCGGAATCGATTTCGTAGTCCAAAATTTTGATTTTTCTCGAAATGTTTTTTCATTGTGTTAATTTCTACAAAACCTCAAAATTAAACTCAATAAGTAAATGTAAAAAACAGTTTCTCTACGACTAAACTTTGGCAACAAATGCCGTTAAAGGACAAAATACGGCCTCTTCTCCCCTCCGGGCAGGGGTTTTCGAACGGCGACATAAATGAGGGAGTAGAGACTGTCCTCCCTCGGAGTACACAGTGAGGTGCCTCAAGTGAGGCAGTGCCTCCCCCTCACACATTCACCCATTCCACATCCCGCACCAAACCCTAACCCGGTATGTCGTGCGTGAAAAACACCGGGGGGGTGGAAGATTTTACTTAGGCCGCGCGGACAGACTCGGGGTAAATAAAAGGAGTGCCTGCCGTTTTTTTCAGTCTTGTAATATGCTAATGTTTAATTTTAGTTATTTAGCACCGAACTATAACTCATTATTGTACAAAAAACCTGGTGTGTCGTAGGCCAGAAGAGTCTGTGCTGGCATAGGTACGCAGAGTTTACGTGCGTTTTTGACCCTGAGTCTTGAGTTACCCTTATCAACCGCATACTATCCGTACGTTTTAGGCCTGAAATCTGCATAGATAACGTGCATAAAAGGTTACACATTTCAGCACAGTAAACATGCGTCTGACTTCTCTCACCCAACCCATTTTACATGGGGCGATATCTCTAAAGTTTCATGTTACAAGAAAAATAAGTAGTATGTCTTGTCACTCAAAACTAGCGTGTCCCTGACTTTGAATATGGTTATCTTAGCACACCTGAGAGTCGAAAATATATCCAACACGTCATCGTACTTCAAATTTTATAGCGATTCTTACGGACTAAATTTGCGAACCACAATCTGAGACAACAAACAAATCCATGTTTAGAGATAGAGATGAGATAGCGAGCTATATAGACATTACAGACAAAGATACTTGTATATTAACAGATGTATTTTATCTGCTGCGCCTGATGAGAGTAAGGCTCACAGGTTAGAAATAAGTTGCCGTGCATGCAGAGTTGCACTCGAGTCAGTAGTTCTAGAACA